GATGGAGTTTTGTTTTTTGTTTTTTGTTTTTTAAGATAGGGGCTTTCTACATAGCCCTGACTGTCCTGGAACTCACTGTGTAGACCAGGCTGGCCTTGAACTCAGAGATCTGCCTGCCTCTGCCTCCCAAGTACTGGGATTTAAGGTGTGCACTGCTAGGCCCAGCTTTGCTCGACATCTTATAAAAGGGCACTTAAATATGAATGAGGGCCTTGATTTTACTCCCAGCAATGGCAGGAGGAGAAGACACCAGTTGCTGTCTCCACGTCCTTCTAGCTCTGGCCTGTGACTGTCCGCTTGGACCCCACACAAACTCTGTCCCGAAGTGTCCCCATCTGTAAGTGGAAGCAAAGAACTACAGCAACCCTGAAGGGCTAGGGTAAGGACTGGATATGCAGCATGAGGAGGCCTCAGTTCATCGACAAGCTTATGGAGGTGCTCAGTAAATGGTGCTGGTCATTATTACAGCTGACCTTTGGAAGTTCCTTTATCTGTAAGAAACACCTGTTCCATGCAGTTTCCTGTTCCCAAATTTCACCTCTGTTATGAGTCTATTCATGCTACTTCTCATGATTAAGCTCCGATCTCTTCCTGGCTCTCCTCTACCCTTGATATAACTGTCTACATTCTCATGTATTCATCTGTATGGTCACCAATAGCCTCTTACTCCAGTCACTTCAGGAGTTCCTGATCTCGTTGGCTACTGCTGTCCCTAAGAGCCCTCTATTCCCAGATGTTTCCTACCAACCTGATCACTTCCTTTCAGTCTCCTTGCAGCCCAAGGATGCTCAAAACCCACAGCGCGTCTACCCAGCCAGGAGCTCCAAGCCCAACTCGGCTGTTTTACAGGGATCATACACGAATGTGGCAAAAATAAAAATTAAAAAAGTGTGTCTTTCTCGGCTTTAGCAAATTACTGATCTCACAAGATAATAAAACCGCCTCTGCCATAAGCCAAGCAACAGATCTCAGACGTAGCATAACCAGCTCCGTCGGACACCTGTACCTCTAACTGTTTGACCCCTATGTCTTCAACGTGGTGCTTTCCTACCCCGAATACAACAGCAGTTTCCAGCCAGTGTCAGTGTACCCTATCACTGCCTCAAACTCATGCTAAAAAATCCACCCACCTTATGTGTATTGTTAGACCACCACTCATATCTTAGTTTATAATAGTTTTACCACCGCAGAAAGAAACCATCACCTTTCCTCAATCCCCAACAGCCATTAATCTACCTTCTTAATGATCTGCCTGTTCTAGAAATTTCAGCTCAGTGGAATATAACAGATATTCAAGTGTGGCCTTTAGTAACTACCTCAACTCTTGCCCCATTCATCACTCCATTCTTTCCTTCCCAATTATCAGACTGAGCTTTCCAAACACCACTCATGTCAGCCCCTTGTTCAAAACCCGTCTGTGGCTTGAGTTAGACTAAGGAATAAAATTCACCCCCTTTCAATTTTATGTTTGTTTGGATTGTTTTGTTTTGTTTTGTTTTTGTTTTCTTAACTGAGGTCTTGCTGTGTAGCTCCAGCTAGCTTGAACTGATGTTGATGGAAATTTGTTATCTTTCATGTCTTCCTAACCTGGTCTTCCTCCAGCTATAGCCTATAGCCCCTGTTATTCTTCTTTTATGTCATCCAAACATCCAGCTTCCCAGGCATATATACACTCTATGGTCCATGTGTTTTCCGTGCTTGGACATTCTTCTCTTTCTTCCTTATATCTGCCACTCTCTACCTACTCACTTATAGAAAACTACTTTTTTTGTGATGCTGGAGAAAAAAAACAGGGCCTTGTGCATGTAAGGCAAGCTCTCTACTGCTGTTACACCCCAGGTCTTTAACTAGCTCTTATCTCTTTATAGTCTTTAGACCCTCACTAGTGATTCAGATTCCCCCCAGGAAACTGTTATCTCACTGTGCTGTAATCTGTATTATCCTGTCCCCCAGGGAACTGTTATCTCACTGTGCTGTAATCTGTATTATCCTGTCCTTCCAGGGAACCGTCATTTTACTGTGCTGTAATACTGTATTATCATGTCCCCCAGGAAATTGTAGGGATAATCTTTTGTGCACTGTGTGAAGATGATCCTTGTATTTTAAATGCTGACTTCTGTTCAGGCAGAGATCTGATTACAGTCTAGACTTTGGCATTGTCATTGTTAGAAGCATCTCTTGTCTTGGTATGTTGAAAACATTGTTCTCATCACCTTCTGATGGTCAAATAAAGAGTTGAATGGCCAATAAGCTGGGCTAGAGAGTTAAGGCAGGCCTTCTGGGCTGGGGAGGGGGGAGGGGCCATCAGAACACAGATGAAGGAGGTGCCAGGACTAAGAGGCCACATGGCTGGGAAGTAGGCCAGGCCAGAACTGCCAGTTTAGAATAGCTGAGTACCTGCCCAGCTTTAGGCCTAACGTTATTATTAATAAATATAAAGGTCTCCATATCGTTATTCAGGAGCTAGAGCAGGCATAGAAAAACCAAATTTTTACATTGGGCTCCCATCGTGCTAGGCATGTAATCTAAACATAGACAGAGATCCGAGTTTAGGACAAAAGATTCAGGTGTTAGGGTCCCAGGGAGAAAGTACAGACAAGCATTCCCTCGAAACAAATGCGGCCCCTTGGCACACTGCTCTGTGAGTGGAACAGCTGGAGTCCAGCCAGCTAGGTCTGGCTGGCCGTGGAGTCACGGAAACCTCAGAGTGGCAGAGGGTATAAGGGGCTCCTCGGGAGCCCCTGCTGAGCAGCAAAGCCAGCTGTCAGGTAGGAAGTGGGAAACCCCAAGAGGCCTGTACCAGAGACCACTCCCCTGGGGGGAGCCTCATACTTCCTAAGGCAGCAGAGCCAAGTCCAGCTGAGTCCCTCTGCCAGTGGGTTGCAGGCCCATGGGGGGAGGGGGACTTCCCAGAAACTGGGTCCACCTGGGGAAAGCCTGCAGCTGCCAGCCTGCATGGCATGCTAGCTGAGTGGCCAAGAGACTTGGCAAACAATAGCTTCAGACATGTGGAAGTGGCAGGAAAAGTTGAAAAATTGCCAGACTTGGTAAGATACTTGGGAAGTCCTTAAAAAAAAAAAAAAAGAGTTAAATAAAATTAATAAGACAAGTAAAAATGCAAAATGCAATGACAGAGGCAGTTGGTGACCATATAATTTTGTTATGCTTATCAGCATAGAAATATTTGTATTTTTCATAATGATTATAATTTTATATATATTTCAAAGAGATTGGAAGGTCTCTTTGATTCAAAATAAAGGATCTTCATAAGAATCCAATCTGGAACTTACAATAACAACAAGAAGAGTAGTCCCATATGAGAGAAATCTACAAGGACTTAAGAGGATTATAGAATGGCATCCCATAGAGATGCTAGGTTAAAAAAAAAAGCTTCAGCTATAAACCAACATGGTTAGACTTGATATTATATTATTTTGTCAAGGATCAATTACTAGATGAAGGTCTATATTCTAAGTTAAAAATACAAATTCTGTTCAATAATGCCACCTTAGAACAATGTCTTATAATAGCTTATGTGTTTCATTTCGTAGAGTTTGGAGAATTAAAGTATGTACATATGTTAATACATCATATAATTGATTCATACTTAGAATTTTGTTTTTTTTTTTTTCGGGACAGGGTTTCTCTGTGTAGCTTTGACTGTCCTAGACTCACTTTGTAGACCAGGCTGGCCTCTAACTCACGAGAGATCCACCTGCCTTTGTCTCCCAGAGTGCTGGGATACAGGTGTGCACCACCAAGCCTGGCTCATACTTAAGATGTCAATATGCTTTTTACCTTGAATTCTGAAAACGATGATTCTGAGATTGAACATTTATTAAAGGTGATGGCTATCTTGGACATGCCTTTGCAAATGGAAGCTGATGATGATCCAACAAATGTATCCATTAAAATACAACATTTTAAAAGACATTATGGCATAGAAAATGTTACAGATATATCTTACAATCCTACAGAACAAGCAATTATGGAGAATCTAACAGGATATTAAATATAATGCACATAAAATAAAAGGGGTATATGGAATCTTCCAGAAATAGATTAAATAAAGCTCTATTAAATTAAAAAAAAATTTAAATGTCAATGAGACAAACAGCAGAGATGCTGAAAAACACTGGATTTTAGAAAGGACTGCTAAATTAGATCAGCCTATAGATGTGCTAACTTCAGAATGAAAATCAGGACTATGTTGCACTGGAGGATAGGTTATGCCTGTGCTTTAACAGGAAAAGAAAAGCTATGGATACCTTCCGAATTAATAAAGATTAGATTTGACTGGCAGAGACCTTCTAAAATTTTTGACCACAGACATGAAGAAAGAAACAAAGAAGGAAAATAAAAACCTAACATATATGCTGACCCCTCTACATGGGAGCAGCTCTGACTCTGGCTAAGGCAGGAGAAAATGGCTTTGCAAAGCCAATAAGTCTTGTTGGCTGCAGAGTCCTCAGGACTTAATTTTACACGCCATCCTTTCATTTGGCATTGATGGGTATTTATATTGCAGCTTGGTTATACAGTCCAAATGAACTTGTAGAGACAGATGTCTTTCACCTGCTCAAGCAAAGAGCAGAGAATCATCTTTAGCTGATTTGTGCATACTGTACACAAAACAAAACAGAAAAGACTGATGTTTGACTGCCAATCTCTACTATTTAAAACTCAAGTACATAACTGATTACTTTATTCTTGAAATTTTGTCTGCTAGCCAGCAGTGGTGGTGAATGCCTTAAATCCAGCCCTTGGGAGGCAGAGGTAGGCAGATCTCTGAGTTCAAGGCCAGCCTGGTCTACAGAGTGAATTCAAGGACAGCAGGGCTACAGAGAGAAACCCTGTCTCAAAAAAGAAAAAAGAAAACCTGTCTGCAGAAATTTTGTTCCAGAAATTATTTCACACCTCTACAGTATATATTAGTGGAAGTATATATATCAGCAGGGGGAAGGAACAGAGTCTGCTAGAGAACAAAAGCTCAAGAGTACCTGCAGGTAGACCTTCTTCACACCAGGCACGTAGTCTGCAATGCGGCCAAAGAGAAGCCGCCCAACTCCTGAAGTGACGCCAATGCACACGAAAAGCACCTCCTTGTTCTCTACATCTGGAAATTTTTCCTTCACGTACTTCATCTGCAGGTCGAGAAAAAGGAAACCTTGCTGAATATGGTAGGGAAACGTCCCAGCTTGGAGACATAGGTCAATAACATCAGATACAGGGTTTTTCCTCTACAGTGTTGCCCCAACTCCCCTTCAAAGCCAAGATTAAAATAGTTAAAAGAATATCCTGTGATAATTTTCTAGAAGAATGGATAAAGAAAAATCTATCATGATTTAGCTTGTATAAAAAGAATGAGTTTTCTGAGTGTGGTGGCACACACCTGTAATCCCAGCCCTTGGCTTACTGTGGCAGGATTGGAAATGCAAGGCCAGCCTGGGCTACAGAGTAAGTTCAGGACAGCCTGGATCATGCATCGAGAACTTGACTCAGAAAAACCACAATTTCAAAAAAATGAGTTAATACTATATATATATATTTTTTTTTTTTTTTTCAGTAAACAGATCACACACAATGAGCCAGTCCTCAAAGGAGAATGGAGACCTGAAATATCTTCCACCTGCCCCGTGGAAGATGGCTAAAGGTCATCTTTGGAGCTTTATTTCTTCTGGGGGACCAGAACAAAATGATGCTCTTGAAATACTTTCTACCAGAGTTTCCTGTATGGGAGTGTAAGGTTCCTGTGTGGCATTCCTACAGATGCAGATACACAAACAATTTACAATTAAGTCTAATTAAATCTTAGACTGCCAGATCCAAATACTGGTCCTAGTCCATCAGGCCCTGTGGCTGAGTTATTTTTTTTTAGGATCTCAATTTGTCTACAAAATGGAAATAGCAACAGTATCTATTTCAAGGGTGTTATAAGGATTAAGTAAAACATTTGCATAGAGGACTTAAGAGTTAGGACACACTGAAGCACCTGTGGAGCATGTGTGAAGCCTCAGGTTCAGCCAGCACTAACACCGCCTCAGAAGAACGGCTGGCAGACAGTTAACGACCAGATATTAACCTTGGCCATCCTTTTTACAAAGGACCTTTTAAATATTGGCTGAAGTAGAAGCTGGAGTTGGGGGAATAACTTCACTTCCCTCCACTCAAAGTCTAGTAAAACAATGTCTACAGTGACCTCTGGGCCACAGAGACCTAGAGGGCATATTTCGTTTGACTTTTCCATAAAAGTCACTCACTGTCCCTTATATGCCAAGCATCCCTTGGAGTTCTAGGAGACTGCAAGCAAACTTCCCACCAAGCCCAACAGCCCAAGTAACTAATGTGCTAGTGGGAGACTTTTCAGATGGCATCTCTCTACTTAAGACATTTCCATTTAACTTTTTTTTTTTTCTGCTTTCCTTTTTCTTAAACCAGTTGTGTATCTTCACATCATCTCATTTCTCTTCGTTAAAAATTGGCGATTGGGGCTGGAGAGATGGCTCAGCAGTTGAGAGCATGGCTGCTCCTCCAGGGCACCTGGGTTCAGCTTCCAGCACTCACATGACAGCTCAAAGCTGGGTCTGACCCCAGGTGATTGTCACCCTCTTCTGGCCTCTGTAGGCATACATGGAAAGTGCAGGCACACACACTGGTGGGAAACCCATACACATACAAATAAATAATTAAAATTTTAAATTAAAAATCAGTAGTTTTCTAACTTCTGTTTTCACACTGCTTCAAAATAATCTTCATGAACGGGACTTTAATCTTGCCAATCCTGTCTTCAGAAGTTGCTTGTTCTAGCCTACGCGCTGTACTCTGCCCGGGATTTAAAGCTCTCCATATAGTCTGTCACTGGTTTCCCTTTGGATGCTTCTTAGCTACTGCTCCTTGGCTCAAATGTCTACTGAGCCTGTAAAAAGGGAAGCAGGTGCGTGTGGAGGAAAGGCGCACATTCCGGAGGACCATTACTACCCGCGTTGCTGACCCCCACCCCCTTCCCCCACCTTCTTTTACTATACGTAAATGATTTAGGAGAAACATGAAGTCCGGATCTTGCATAGAAATGTTGGCACCTACCCTGAATTTAGAACACCGTGTGATCCAAGGCTTCATAAGCCAAACTGCAAATGCCAATGCTGCAAACTGCATTAGGCCGGCTTTGATCTCAGTCTTAATCCCGGCCAGCTCAGTGGGAAAGGCTTGTCAAAAGCCCACTGCACACGCGGCCATGCTCTCCCCCGTCCGCCGCGCCCTGGGCTTTGTAACTTCTTGCTTTTTCTTAACACTGTCCCCGGGCACCTGCGGTTTTGCGCCTGTGTCTACCCAGCCTTGCTAAATTCTCCGGGCACTCTTTTCCATGTCAAACTAGGCAGTACCCATCTGCCTAATTCAAAGGGACCTCATGCTTTATTCACCCACCCCTTACGAGTTGCCCTCCTGCATTCGGGTTAAGGGTACAGTCGGCTCACCAGTGGCAGTAAAACCCCAGTGACCATCTCAGGTTACGCCAGCTCCTCTCTTCAGATTGCCACCAAATGGTAACGACTGTCTGACTAAGTGACTCCCACATACTTCCTCTGTTCTGTGTTCCCTGTGTAGGTTCTTGCCGCTCCTAACCTGGACCACTACAGCAACCTTCTAACATGCTTCCTGTCTGAGCCCCCATTCCTAAATATCCTAAATTCACATTTTAAAGCTCCCATCTAGGCTTGCTTTCCCTTTAGGGTCTGTAGCCTTTAGACTAAAGTGTAACGACATCTGCTTTGGTAAGTGAAGCCTCACCTCCTGCTGCTTCTTTAGATATACACCATGCTTACCCTGTAACAAACAACCGAGTGTTGTGCCTACAGACATGTTTTTGTTTTAATTCCAGGGGTCGGATGTGGGACTGATTCAGATCGTCTACAAGAGCAAACTATTTGCCTTATGCCGGCTCTGAGAGGAGCTCTTTGCCAGCTGCAGATAATGTAAATCTGAGGGCTCTGGAGAAAGAATAAATGCCAGAGCCCGGAGAGTGTGGAGAAGCTCTGAGAAAGGATTAAGGCAGCTGTTGCTTCCTGGCTTTGGCTGCAGGTTGCTGTTGATGCAGTGACACAAGACGTTGGAGCTCTCCTGAAATGAGGATTAGACTGGCTCCAAGGAACCTGATGACCCTAACCAGCAGGAAGCACCTAAGAGACCTGAGCCCCCTCCCCCACTAACGCTTTCTCTCTCCTACCTGGTGTTGGGGGTGCTGGAAGGAATTGGACGGAGTAGGGAGAAAGAGATGTAAGAAATGCAAATAGGAGCTGTTGTTTTTTTTAAAGCGTGCCAACAACTGAGCACTGAAACATGACCAGTCTAAGCTGAGATATGCTGTGACTACAAACATGCAGAGAACCGGAAGTCACTGGGGAGGAGAAGGCATGAAAAATAGCCCAATCCTGAGTGCCTGTTAAAACAATAAATACATCGGCTATACAGCTAAGTAAAGTATTATAAAAATTAATTTCGTTTCTTTTTCTCCTTTTTCTTTTACTGTAGATAACCTAGACTTTTCTAATTTAAATTATGAAGTGGCATGATTTGCATTTCTTGAAGAACCCGCTTGTTGCAAGCACATGACAGCCACTGCTGAAGGGAACTAGGAACCTGCAGACAAAGCTGACCACGGATCTCCTTCTGGAGGGAACTGGCCAGTGTGAGTTAGGTGCTACAGTGGGGTGCGTGTCCCCACGCTTTCTTTAGGAAAAATCAGAAAGCACTTACCGGATCTACACCGTCTCCGCCCCAGGCCGAGGAACAAAGCCGTGGCCTCAGTATGCTAAGCAGCTGCTGAACCTAGCTCCGCTGCCAGCCCCGTAAAGCTTTCACAGAGACGTTCTTTAATACTCATAAGACTAAACCTATCAGTCATTCTTTTGATGAAACTAAGAATAGGAGCCTAATAAATTTCTATCATTCTTTGAGTTATTTTACCTTCCCCCAGTCTATTTTGCAATCTTTATAAGAAATAATAAAGTGAAATATTTGAGATTTTTTTAAAGAGGCTAGGTAATGTGAGTGTAAATATGCTAGAGTATACAAAATACATACATGATTACTCACATTGTCAGCCATAATGAAACCCACTATTTTGTACAATGAATATACACTAATAAAATGGTAAAATTAAAAAGCCTTAATTGGAAACTTAGTTCTTTAATGATAAAGGACACTACTACATCAAATTTTCATCAGTATCACTTAAATAGCAAGTTTTTAAAAACCCATCAGCTTTTGTAACTTCCTCTCTACGTGCCCCACCAAAACTTCAAACTAAGAGTATTTTTGGTTATTGGGCGAGGAGTGTACAGGAGAGGTGATCCCACTCTGTAGATGCCAAACCTCTGTGCCTTTCCTCGCTGAGGCAGCAGTACCAAGGAGGTTCGTCCTGAGCCTCCAGGAGGCCTACTGTCTGACTTAGGAATTTCTGCCGCCCCTCATCCTCTGGGTGCTGTCGTGTGCTCTGTTTAACACAAAGCATGACATAGGGCAAAACTGGCATTTCTAATACTCATGTGGGCAAAGACAGAAAACTATGGAACAGATACTTTCAAATTTGATCTAACTCATTTATTAAACAAACAGAAAGCTTGTGCTAGAGCCCAGTATTTACCCAGGGGATGTTACTTGTGGATCAGTTGGTTAACGTTAACATTACTGGGGATAGGGGGTGTAAGCTCAGCCTGTAACACCAGTAAGTAAATCTTTCTGGAAAGGGTCTCATCATGTGGTACAGGCTGGCCTCAAATTTCCAATCCTGCTAGCTTGGCCAAACTTGGCTTAAATAATCAAAAATGTTCTATTAAATTTTGTGTATGTGTATGGCAGGAGGAATGGGCACACTCTTATCACAGTATGTGTGTGAAGGTCAGAGGACAACTTTCAATACTGATTTCTCTCCTTCCGCCACGTGAGTTCTGAGGGTGGAACTGAGGTCATTAGTCTTGGTGGCAAGTGCCTTTACCTGCTGAGCCATTCCCTGGACTCCACACTGGGCTTTAGGCTTTATCTGGACGCATAAGTATCTTTAGGGAGGAAACATATCTTTTATTGAGACCTCAAGCTAAATGTAGAGGTATGAATACCTCTGGAAACATCTTAAACATCACCTGCTCGTAAAACATTTTTCCATCATTCAAGCAAAAGCAGCTTTTGCTGACCACAGACACTGTTTTAATATCCAAAGATAACCAAGAACTCACATCTTGGAAGATGTGCCCATTCTATATCCATGAGACAATTAAGACCAAGCTCTTTGATTTACCCTTTCTCTAACCATCTTCAATTTGCCTGAAGAGTGGCATTCCTGGAATTGATGACATTTTTCTGATCAGACAACTAAAGGCGAAATAGATCCCACTTTTCCTGAATGGGTCAATGGAAGCAGCCTGTGAAAATCAGTCTTTCACTAGAATAGCTTGTGGCCTGTGCTGTGGCGCCCCTCCCTTCACCTCTTCCGCAGGGGAGTGACAAGTGCAAGGCTCGTGGGGACAGAGGGCAACTTCCACTGAGAAAACAGCAGAATGCTTTGGCTCTCAGACACCTAATCATTAAAAACTACCGGATAGCTGTCCAACCCAGAGGTGCTACAGCAAAATCCGTCCTGCCCGTACTGCTATGCTGCCCATACCTGCAAACCACAAATGCCATGGGTCAAAAGTTACCTACTGTTTCATTCGTGTCGTGTGGCTATGAAACTAGATCACTGACCCTCCTCCATACACACGTGCACACTTTAACTGCTTGAGTGCCCTTTGCCTACAATTTTCCACATAATGTTTATATAACACCACACAAAGAATACAATAGAGGAATCTCAGTGTATATAACTTAGACTACTCATTGTTGAAGAATAAAGAAGGAAATTACTGAAAACCTTCAAAACAGAAGAAAAAGAAAACAATTTTGACAGCAGACTCAAAGGAACAACTGACTGACTCACTCTGAAGTGTTAACAAAAGCAGGAGGGAGAGTTAAGAGAACATGACACGATCAGCTCCAGTAGACATTGCAGGCTGTGAGAGGGAAAAAAAAAAATCTTTGGAAAACACAACAAAAGGACAAAACCTCCAAATGCTCCAATTTGTATCGTCTCCAGCTGTTGCTTCTCATTGTGTTCTCTGGAAGGATAAGAGGATTTCTGTCACCTGTCACCGTTTGCCATGTTTGTGGCAGTTTTGATTTCTCGGTCTTCTATCTGCCCTTGCTCCTGAGAGACACATCATCAAACTGGAAAGAACAGGGTAAGCATGGGCGTCCATTTCATTTCCAGAATAAATACTTTGTGGGGTGAGAGGACTTGTAGCTCTGGTTTGCATGGCACATGTAAACTGGGCTAATAAGTGCTAGGTCATGTTTGGATGGTTCTGGAATTCACACTGACCTCAACTCCCTACTTCCAAGTAGGGATCTTATATCCCCCGGCTGCTAGACACACCAGAGCTCAGCAGCGCAAGGCTGCTGCTTCTTGTTTGCATGTGGTTGAGAGTAATTTCTAAAGTACCCTCATCTTGCTGGGCCTGGTGGCACAGGCTATATTTCAGTACTTGGGAGAGACAGAGACAGGAGAATTGCTACCACTTCAAGGCCAGCTTTGTCTACTTAGTTTCAGGCCAGTCCTTGTATTAAAAAACCTAGAATGAGGGGCTAAAGAGATGCTCAGGGGTGGCTCACAACCAACCATAACTACAGTCCCAGGGGATCTTTTGATACCCTCTGCCAACTTCTCAGGCACCAGGTATTCAAGTGGTGCGAAGACATACATGCAAGAAAAACACTCATTCATAGAAAACAAATGAACCTAACAGAGAAATAAATTTTAAACTAAAAACAAAACAAAAAGTCCATAAGTGTGTGTATCTCCACCTAATATGTCAAAAAGCTACCCCATAGCTCTAGGAGACCATGTGATTTAAACATATTTTCTTTTTAACTGAATTTGGCATGGAAGGGACGCAGGAATTCTACTATATAGGCCAAGCTATGCTCAAACTTGA